GAGATTATCTGGGCAACTGATACTCATCACAGTTCCTCTTGGCATATCTGAGGTTTATCAGCTTTGGAGGACCCTGGAGGCAGCATGGTGGGCAATAGGGCATGGGCGTGGGGACAGCAATCAAAGAGGGGCAGCACCAGGCCTTACACAGGAGGCTGATAGGAAGCCACAGCATCAAGCAGCTGGGAAATCATATCTGAGATTTCTCTCTGAGACACCTCCCAGAGAAAACTGAAAAATAAGTAGAAGACTCGGTAGGGACGATGTAAGGAGGAAGGTGGGATAGCAGAGGAGTCGCTATGATGATGGAACAGAAGATCTATATCTTGATTGTGGTGTTGTTTATATGCATCTACACGTGTGATAAAATCTACACGTGTGCGTGGACCCTCTCTTCCCGCCCCCCTCCCCCCCCAAAAGAAGAGCATTTAAAGCTAGTGAAATCTATGGATTGTACCCAATATCAATGTTCTAGTTTTGGTGAAGATGTTAATAGTGAAAAAAACTAAGGGTACACAGGCCCTTACTGAACCATTATTGCAATTTCCAATGAATTTATAATTATCCTATCTAATAAAGAGGTAATATGCAAATTGACCATCACAAAGATGGTGGAGCCCATAGCCACAAGATGGCGGCATCCAGTCCCCTCAGCCCCATAGGAGTCCTTCAGTCCTTTCAGCCCTGCTTGGGGCGTGTGTGTGTGTGTGTGTGTGTGTGGCAGGCATACAGTGTGACCAGACCAGTCCTCAGCCCCCCAGACTCTCAGGGTTGGCCTGAGGTGCAGGCAAGCCTCGGATGGTGGCTGCCCAGGGCCACCCAAGGTAACCAGGGCCGGCTGGGGCTTGTGCTGCCAGCAGTGGCAGCAGCAGGGGTGTGATGGGGGCATTGCCTCCCCCTGATGGCTGGGTCACCTCCTGCCCCTGAGGACTCCAGGACTGTGAGAGGGGGCAGGCCAGGCTGAGGGACCCCCTCCTCCCCATCTAGTGCATGAATTTTCATGCACTGGGCCTCTAGTTCTCATATAATCAGTAAAAAAAGAGTTTATTTTGATAAAATTCTTTTAAAAAAGATGTTAATAAATCAAAATATGAAGAGTGCTTATCTCTAGGTTAGGGGTGTCGAACTCAATCAGAGAAGGGGCCAAAATCTAAAATCCAGCCTAAATTGCGGGCGGAATGGTTTACTGAACAGTCATAAACTGTCATTGTGATGGAAACGCAACAGAGTGCAGTGATGACAGCGCGGTGTGGGCCACATTGCAAGGCCTGGCGGGACGGATTTGGCCCGCGGGCCTTGTGTTTGACACATGTGCTCTAGGTGATAAAGTAAAGGTAATTTTTATTTCCTCTTTTATACCTTTTATTTTAAAATATTCTACAATAATTAGGTTGGCTTTTACCATTAGAAATAAAATAAATGTTATTAATTTAATAATATGCTAAGAAATGGTACATATTTGATATGCATATAGCTACGTTATAGTTGGTGATTTTCTTAAGTTAGGCCTTGTGGCTATTGAACTATTTAATTAATAGGTTATAAAAGTATCTGGACTACTGAAGAGTGTAAATCTACAACAAAATGAAAGCAATAGAGAAAATTGACAATTAGAATTTATTAGTTTTTCCAAAATCCATATAGTTTCCCTATGATGATTTTAATTTTATCTATGTGGTGCACAGTACAACTTTATTTGTAATTTTCCTTCTGTGTTTCTAGAATGTAAGGAAAATAATCTGTGTCTATTAAGTAAGATAATGCTATAATAGTATGTACTTAATTTTTATTGTAAGCTGGCTATGTGCTAGGTGTTTTCCTTTTTTACTTTTTCATTTAATCTCCATATCAGCCCTATGAAATAGTTGCCATAGCTATCCATTCATTTTACAGATAATGACACTGTCCCGGTGAAGGTTAAGGCCATACAATTAGGCTGGCTGACGTCAGAGTCAGATCCGGACTTCTAGCTCCACAGTCCGCCAGGAGAGCGGTGTAGATGCACTGGCATGGAAAACGGAACAGAGGGGGATTCTGCCTGAGGAGCTTCCAGCACAGGCTGTGCAGGGGTGGCTGGAGCCGGGCGGTGGGCTGAGGCTCCCTTTGAGAGCAGCTCTCGGAGCAGAGCTGGGCAGACACTGCCCGCATCAGGGCCCTGGCTTTTGGTTCCCAATGAGTTCCAGCTCTTAAATACCAGGGCAGATTATCCACACAAAAGAAAAATGAACTATTTAGATCTTTGGGAGGTTGTTAGGATTGCATGTGGCACAACAGAAGGTTTCCAAATCATTCAGTCTTCTCTTTCATAAGCTATCAAGCAGCTAGAGCAGTGGTTCTCAACCTTTTTAATGCCGTGACCCTTTAATACAGTTCCTTATGTTATGGTGACCCCCAGCCATAAAATTATATCTGTGTTTCCCGATGGTCTTAGGCTCGACAGCAGTGGTTCTCAACCTGTGAGTTGCGACCCCGCAGGTTGAGAACCACTAGCAGGGTCGCCCAAGACCGTGGTCAGCAAACTGTGGCTCACAAGCCACGTGCAGCTCTTTGGCCCCTTGAGTGTGGCTCATCCACAAAAAACCATGGCCTGGGCGAGTCTATTTTGAAGACGTGGCATTAGAAGAAGTTTAAGTTTAAAAAATTTGGCTCTCAAAAGAAATTTCAGCCAAAACCGGTTTGGCTCAATGGATAGAGTGTCGGCCTGTGGACTTAAAGGCCCCAGGTTTGACTCCCGTCAAGGGCATGTACCGTGGTTGCGGGCACATCCCCAGTAGGGGATGTGCAAGAGGCAGCTAATCGATGATTCTCTCTTATTGATGTTTCTAACCCTCTCTCCCTCTCTCTGTAGAAAATCAATAAAATCTATTAAAAAAAAAAAAAAGAAATTTCAATCGTTGTACTGTTGATGTTTGGCTCTGTTGACTAATGATTTTGCCAACCACTGGCCTAAAACCATTGGAAAACAGATATTTACATTACAATTCATAACAGTAGCAAAATTACAGTTATGAAGTAACAACATGAGGAACTCTATTAAAGGGTCGTGGCATTAGAAAGGTTGAGAACCACTGAGCTAAAGCCTTCATCCCAAATTACACAAGGAATCTCCCAGCATTGCAAAGGTTCCCAGGGTGTTGACAATCCATGGCTGCCCTCTTACTCAGCTGACAAATTCTTGAATGGGAAAGTTCAGCAGCCTTGTTCAGACAACGCCAGGCATGTGCACAAGAGGCGGGTAAAGGGCAATGGAAACGCAGAGTTCTTCCAGCTCCACCGTGGGGTGGCCCCTTGGAGGCTGGCAACGTCAGGGTGCCCTGCTGCCCCATCCCTGATGCTGGCAGTAAGCCCCTCTTCTCCCAGGACAGGGTGCTGGCTGGGCCCAGCTGGGTCCTGTCCTTCTGCTCTGCAGGAGACTGTGCTCCTCGGAGTTGGTTCTCTGTGTCCAGCAAGTGTTTTGCAGCGTGCCTGGCACAGAGGGCCTGCCTGTGTTCCAGAGTGGGAGAAAAGGGCCCTCGGGTACCCCTGGACCAGGAGAACATGGAACAGCCTTATCTCTAACATCTGTGTCCTGAGAGGAATGGGGTACCAGGTATGGAGGTCCCAGGTGGGGATGGAGCTTGGAAACCTGGTGGGAACAGAAACAGAACTGCCCTGTTGGGCAGGGGACGTGGGCAGGAGAGGTAAGAGAGCTCCTTTTTATGGGGGACCTGGAACTCCAGGCGGCCTGTGAAGAAGGGAAAATGCTACAGAGAGGATAAAGCCCCCCTTCCTCCATGGGACCAGACACAGCCTCCTCAGGTCCTACCTGACTCAGGGAAGGGAGGAGGGAGAAGAAAAAAGGAAGAAGAGGGGTAAGGGTCCTGTTGACCACCTGCTCTGGGCCGATCATCAAGCTGAGCTTTAAGAAAATGTATGAAACTTGGCATAGCCCCTCACACACAGAAGTTCCTTGGTCACTACGTCATTCATCATTACAGTGGACATCATGGCCTCATCCACAAGACAGTGCCATAGGTAGGCATTATTATCATCTCTGTTTTATAAGAAACTTGAGGTTCAGAAAAGAAGTGATTGGTATAGATGGAGTCAAAACTTAAACACAGCTGTTGGACTCCGAACCCTGCGGTGGGAAAGGTGCCTGGTGGGGTCAGAGCAGGTGTGGGTAGAGGGCCAGCACAGCACGGAGGAGGAGGGGGATTGGAGAAGAGCAGTGGAGGGAAAGGAACCCCCTTCCTCAACAAGAACCCCAGGGCTGGGCTGCCGCATGAAGTGCCCATTCAGGGGTAGGGGACCAAGGCAGGCCAGATGCAGGGCTCTTCCTCCACTACCAGCCGCCCCACAGGCTCAGTGCTGGGAGCCAGGCCTGGGGCAGCTCCACCTGAGAGGGCATTAGCAGGAGCATCGGGCACCACAAGAGAGAAGCAGCCTTGGCACCTGGTGGGGCCCTGCCAGGTGTGGACCAAGGCAGGCACAGCCTCGGTCACCTGTAAGCCAGTCCTGGATGTTGCAGGGGGTGAGGGGGCACTTGGCTTTTCAGGAATGACACTAGCCGGTGCTAAGCCAGAGACCACATGCATATTTATTTGTCATGTTGACTAGTATTATGGGGGGATCACATCCTCTGACTTTTATGTCTTTACACAAAGGAACTTCAAAATAAAAGTTGATTCATCTTTCTTGGCCAAAGAGATACAAAACTGTCAAAAATCTCAGGTCAAGTGGCATCATGACTACATGCCTGTGTTGAAACTCCTCTTTGCAAGGCAAGTGACATGCGCTTTTCTTTTTTTTTTCTTTTTTCTTTCTTCTTCTTCTTTTTTTTTTTTTTTTTTTTTTTTTTTTTTTTTTTTTTTTTTTTTTTTTTTTTTTTTTTTTTTTTCCAGCAGTGAAAATACAAATGATTCACTCTGGCAACCTTGGCTGTCTAGCTGATAACTAATTTGTTTGCTGATAAATGATTACCCAGCAGCTGGAGTGGGGACCCAGAAACCACACTGTATAACTAACATATGAAGCTCTTCCTGTGTGCAGACTATTGTGCTAAGTGGCTGGGTGCTGCAAAGGATGTGGGGGACAGACCTTATGCCATAGATTGTATAGGTTAATGCAAAAAAGAATCTAGAAAAAGCAACATGAACCCTTTAACTGTGACAATCAAGATCTCTGCTGCTCACACTGGCCCTGGTGTGATTGGAACAGGGTCAGCGACACGGACAAAGACTTCTTGCAGGCTCAAGGCTCAAGCCATGGTTTGGAAAAGAGAACCCAGAGTCTGCGGGGAGAAAGGAGGAGAGCAGGCCACTGAAACTACTCCCATGGCATTTTTAATGCTGTGCTTGTTCTTATTGGTTGATTTAGAGCAGTTGTGGTGCAAGAGGGAGGAGGGTATTTAAGAAACGAAACAGGATCTTGCAGCATTAGGTCAGAAGTTCTGCTCAAGTAGAGGCCAAAGATGGCTTTTGGAAATGTCTGGAAGATTGTTAGTTTTAGTCCCAGGACCTGATGTTTTTGTGGCTGGATATTCTACTTGAATGTTGGCTTTCTCTGCTCATGCAAAGTGTAGATCGCCCAGACAAATAGCTCAGTGATCCTAGGACCCCACTTCAATGAGGGAAAGGATCTTATACTGCCGCTGTGGGCAAGTGGAACCACTTTAGGATTTGAGGCAGAGCAGCTAGGTAATCATGTTTGTATTTTAGATGATAACTCTATCCACGGACTATAGGAGAACAGTTAAAACCCTTTTAGTATTATGGTGGGTATTACTATTGAAATATTATATAGTCTTTCTCTTCCTAATACCTATTTCTTAACTCTCTCACCCACTTCTCATCTCCTTGCTACTTTGAGCAAGGTTAGTCTGTGCTCATTACCCCAGCCAAGGATGTTCAACAGAGAATAGGGATACAGAAGGTCCATTTTGTTGGCTGTTGAGGGTTTGTTTTTTTTAAGTCTAAGCCATGGAGGTGAAGGAAGGACCCGGACATATACTAGAGATTTGGGAGTGCATGATGTTCCATTTGAAGGTCCCTGTCTCTAGTTCCTGGGACTATGGAGGGGGAAGTGGCTCAGAGAGAAAGTAAGAACGTACAGTCATGAAGGGATTCCTGAAAGCGGGATTGTGTCTATGGGAATGGAACCCAATGACAGAACAAACAAAACAAACAAAAACAGCAACCAAGTTCATACATACAGAGAAGAGATTGGTGGTTGCTAGAGGTAGGTAATGAGGGTGGACAAAATGGGTGAAAATGGTCTAGGGGTGTCGAACTCAATCAGAGAAGGGGCCAAAATCTAAAATCCAGCCTAAATCGCGGGCCGAATGGTTTACTGAACAGTCATAAACTGTCATTGTGATGGAAACGCAGCGGAGTGCAGTGATGACAGCGCGGTGCAGGCCACATTGCAAGGCCTGGCGGGACAGATTTGGCCCGCGGGCCTTGTGTTTGACACATGTGGTCTAAAGGCACAAACTTGTAGTTATAAAATCAATCAATCATGGGCCTGTAATGTACAGCATGGTGACTATAACTAATAATACTGTATGATATACTTGAAAGTTGCTAAGAGAGTAGATCTTAAATGTTCTCATCACACACAAAAAAACCCTGTAACCATGTGTGGTTGCAGATATTAACTAGCTTTATTGTGATGACCGTGTCACAATTATTATGTTGTACCCATGAAACTAATATAATGTTGTTTGTCAATTATAGTTCTATTAAAAAGAAAGAAGAGAGAGAAAAAAAAGACTAGAGACCCTTAAACACACACACACACACACACACACACACACACACACACCCTTAATGCCCTAGACAAAGATATAACCCTGAATTAATTAAGATAAATTTTTGACTGCTCTGGTGAAATGAAGGCTAATTTAGAAGGTAAGTTGTTCTATAGAAAAATAAATAAAAATGTACATGTCTGTAGACTAAGATTTGTACCTGCTTCTGTCTGTTGCTAAATGATAAAGATGTTCTCCCAGCTAACTTACCTGGGGTTCTAATGGACTTCCTAGGGGATTTTGGATAGAAAGCTTAAATTTTTAAATGCCATAGTTTTTAGTTCTGATCCTGCTTTTTGGGCTTATTGTTGCTTTCCCATGACTCCCGAGAATGTTGAAACACAATTATTACAATTCCCCAAGTTTATGTGAAGAGCAACTACAGCAAAGAGTTGGAAAATCATCTTGTGGTGGACTGTAGCCAGGGCTGCCGCCCAAGGAAAGCCCCTAAGTAGATGTAAATACAAAACTCCTAGGTCCCACAGCGTAAGTGCAGATAAAATTGCTTAACATGTACTACTGGCACAGAAAAAAAAGAGATTGTGTAAATCCTCTGCACAAAGTACTTTTGAACCCCAAATCTAGATATAGACTTGTGAGATATAGCTTGTTGAGTAGAAAAATTATTTCCTGATACAGTGATGTAAACAGTTTTGGGAGTTGACCTGGCCGTCCCAGCGGGGAGAGGATAAAAGCCAGGAGCCCTTTAGTTCTGGGCCCTGGGCCAGGTTGATTTTTCACCGCAAGGGGCTGCTGTCCCTAATGCCTTCTTAGGCATGTCCCGTTGAGGAACAAAAGGGTCCGGGACCCTGAAAGTCTGGCTGTTATGCTGTATTTGTGACCACTTATTTTTAAATATTCTAGCATGAATAACGTGATTTTTGTGTGTCAATGAGTTCACCTGCTCTAACTTTTTTGGGATGGGTTAATTACTAGATAAAACCAATAAGTCAGTTCTAGTCTCTATCAAAAATTTAGTTTGCTTTATTTGTATCAAAAGTGTTAGAAGTACCGTAATTCTTGATTTAGAAGAACCTGATTTCTTGAACTGTATGTGGTTAGGAGTAATAATTGGACTAATTGCCTCGTATGAATAAGGGATAAAAAACAGCAAACCCAACAATTATGGCATCACTGGAGGGCTGGTGTGTCTCTCAGATAAGATCTCTCTCCCCTTCCCCTCTTTTTACCATCTAACCATAGGAATCCAGTATTTGTGTTTGTTTCAAAAACACTGCTTCCTTTTTGAAGACTGGACAAGAGTACAAATGGAGACCCATTTACAATGTGTCTTAATATTTTAAAACTGAAAATCCAGCCTACAAACTATACTATAGAACAGCAATTTTCAACCTTTCTTTTCTCGCATGGCACAAATAAATTAATTACTAAAATCCTGTGGCACACTAAAATATTAGGTCGGCACCTAGGTAATTGCGGATTTTTTAAAGAAAATCAAAGACAATTTTTTCATGGAACTAAATAACTTTATTCTGTAATGTATTGCCCATTTTTATCAATGACCTTTTGCCATCTTTCAGGCAGCATCATAATCCCACGTTCAAAAAACTTCTGGTTTTTATTAGCAAAAAACTGAATCAGGTACGATTTGACATCATCATCATTATTGAAATTTTTACCATTCAAGGAGTTTTGTAAAGATCGAAACAAAAAGTAATCAGATGGTTCAAGGTCAGGACTATATGGTGGATGTGGCAAAACATCCCAACCAAGCTCCATTAATTTTTGCCGAGTGACCAAAGATGTGTGTGGCCTTGCATTGTCATGATGGAATACAACACCTTTTCGATTTGTCAATTCGGGCCGCTTTTCTTCAACTGCATTGTTTAATTTCGTTAGTTGTTCAATGTAGACATCAGAATTGATCGTTCGGTTGGGTGGTAAGAGTTCAAAGTAGACAATTCCTTTGTAATCCCACCAAACTGATAACAAAACCTTCTTTTGATGAATATCAGCTTTTGAAGTTGTTTGAGTTGGTTCACCTGGCCTGCTCCACGATCTTTTCCACTTGATATTGTTGTAAACAACCCATTTTTTATCGCCAGTTATCAGTCGTTTTAAAAATGGATCATTTTCATTACGTTTCTTTAGCAAATCGCAGCTGTTAATGCGTTGCGTTAACTGTGATTCTTTCAGTTCGTGAGGAACCCATGTATCGAGTTTTTGAACATAGCCAAGTTGTTTTAAGTGATTTTCAATGCATGTATGTGATACATGAAGCTTCTCTGCAATCTCACGTGTTGTACTGTGACAGTCCGAATTGATTATTGCTTTGATTAGGGCGTCATCAACTTCAACTGGACGACCAGAGCGTTTTTCATCTTTGAGTGAAAAATCACCAGAACGAAATTTGGCAAACCAATTTTGACACTGCCGTTCTTTTAAGGCTTCGTCACCATAAACAGCACATAACTTTTTATGAGCTTGCGATGCGTTTTTCCCTTTGCAGAAATAAAAAAGCAAAATATGACGAAAATGTTCCTTTTGATTTTCCATTTTTCAACGAACGCCAAACGAAAACTACAAAACAGATCAAAAAACTTTTTTTACTGATTAACAGCTGAATAGCCAACTATCAAATAACAAAATGTGTTTTACATTTGTACTACGTCTGCAAACCTAAAAATTCAACTGAAGCCATATATGTGTGAAACCCGCAATTACTTAGCTGCCGACCCAATATATAATATTTTTTGCCAATCTGACAAAAAAAATAGGCATAATTTTGATTTATTCACACCAGACAACTATGGTTGTGTTGGCTGTTGTCATTCTTTTATTTGACAATATAAGGGAAAAGAGGTCAGTGCCCCTGACCAAATAGTCAGGTAGTGGATACTTTAAAAATTATTGTGGCACACCAGAGTGCCATGGTACACTAGTTGAAAATCTCTGCTGTAGAATATATTCTAACCTCTTGCCTTGAAAAATATATCTTCAGAAAGACCCATAATGCCATGCCTCAATATAGAATTCTTGGACCCCTCAGAGTTTCACCTGCTTCCCCCAAACCTCCCTCCTCTGCCCACCCCTCAGCTCCACCTCACTCATTAAAGTTTAGTGTCCAGCTCTCCGTGAACCCGGTGCCCTAGCCACTCCTCAGGCCTCGGGGTGAGCACAGCCACGGCCAGCCCATCCACAGGACTCAGATCAGAGGAGAGGCCTATCAGATTCTGGAGATGGGTTCAGGACCCTTGGGCAGGGAATTCTGGGTCTCGGTACCAAAGGGTGGCCTAGAAGGTGGGGTGTGGGCTTTGAATGGATGAGTTCCTCATCAACCTGTGGAGAG